AATCTTGTGCATCATTCCTGTACCAGGATGACCCAAACGATCATGCCATAAAGTTAGCAGATTCTTATTATCTAACTTCTGGTTAGATATCGAATTTATTTCAACTGGTCGTATATGTATATGATATAACCCCGAAGAATATGCTGGCAATTTCTCATACACTTGTTTCTCGCCATATTTTCTGCCGTGAGGTATAAATATTCCTTTTTATCCACTATCATTGTTTCTAAATGAAAACCATTTTGACGCACATCTTTAAAGCTTATAAGATTTCTTCGAGATTTACTTGAATATAAAGCGTCATTAATGATTAATTTTGTTCCATTTGGGAGTATTATGCAAGCTTTTCCAGAACCTTCTATTAGCTTAGCTGACCCAGAAATGGTATTAACATTTGCTTGAAACAATTTTAACTTTAAAAAATATTTTCTATCCTTCAGAATAGTGTGTGGTGTTCCACTGTCCAAACGGCATTGAAATTTGGAACCAACTTCGGGCAGATCCATATCTTCATAAAATAATAAGTATAAGATTAGTTTAAGATAATTAAACTGGACTTGCTTTATTAATGATGAAAAATTAAAAGTACATAACTTGAACATGAAAAACATAAAGAAAAGTACAAAAAGAAAACATAATACATATCATAATAATTGATGAATTATCTAAACATGATTATTCTCTCCAAAGATAAATTCACCACCAGCTTGACCATTGTCTATGAGGAAATCAGACACATCAAGGCTAGTTCCAGGGACATTTTCTTCATTAACGTAATTTGCTTCGGCATGTTTTTCTTTCCCTTTAATGGAAGCCTGGTATAGTTCTACTAGATGTTTGGCCGTACGACAAGTACGTCCCTAATATCCAGTCATGCCACATCTATAACATGTGTCTTTTCCTTTTGTGGTGGCTTGATTTTTGTTTCCTTGTTGATGCCCACTTTGAGTGTTGTTTCTAGGGGGGAAATGACCTCTACCACGGCCATGACCACGTCCACGGAAATTTCCACGACCTCTGCCACGATTATTAAGTTTTCCACGTCCACCTCTATGAGCAACATTTGTCTCGGGTGGATTTGAGCTTTCTACAACATTTGTTTCATTGAATGCTTGAGACCCAGTTAGTCTTAGGTTGTGATTCTTCAACAGAAGATCATTATTCTTTTCAGCAACCAATAATGTAGAAATAAGCTCAGAATATTTTGCAAAACCGCTTTCACGATATTGCTTTTGCAATACAATGTTGTTAGCATGGAATGTAGAGAGTGTTTTCTCTATCATTTGCACTTCAGTGACCGGTAGATCACAATATCTCAATATTGATACAATTTTATATAGTGATGAATTATAATCACTGACAGATTTAAAGTCCCGAAATCTCAGGTTTGTCCACTCAAACTGTGCTGAAGGAAGGAGTACCCTTTTGTGGTGGTCATACCTTCCTTTCAGGCTATCCCATAGTTCTTTGGGATTTTCTACCATTAAATACTCAGTTTTTAAACTGTTATGTAAATGATGCCTTAAGAGAACTATAGCTTTTGCTTTCTCTTGATCAGTAGGAACTTTAACTTGAGCAGGGGCATCTTTTTTGTTTCCTGGGATGGTAATTTCTTTGATTGTATGTTCCAATCCCTGAGCCTTTAAATTCATTTGGGCATCAACTGTCCATTCAAGATAATTATGTCCGGACAAGTCTAATACGTCAAATTGTCTTTTCATCAAGTCTCCCATTTTAACTACAATCAAATAGATAATTATTATTAAGTCAATTAAGTAAGTGATAATTAAAGTAATCAAATTATAATCATAATAATAAGCCATTTTAAAACATATTTTGATTCTCCCCCCGGGTTATTATTATGATTTACATAAAGTTAAGCTAAAATAAAATATGATAATTACGTTTGTTAAACAATAACATCAACAACAAAAACAATGATAATAATAACAATAACAATAAATACTACTACTATTACTACATCACCGACAATAATAATAATAATAATAATAATAATAATAATAATAATAATAATAATAATAATAATAATAACAACAATAATAATATTTATATTAATGACATACATTAATGATAAGACAAAAGGAACATTTATTATAACAAAATGCACTTATAATCTACCTAGAAGAAAAAAAAACTTGAAGTACTACGGAGATTACATGCATTAATTCCCTTTGTCGAAAAAAAAAACAAGCGCTACTTATGTAAAATGATGAAAATCTTCATTGCCATTAATAAAACTACTAGGGCCATAATTAAAACTAAGTATAGTTTTAATTTCCTTAAATCTTCTTCAAAGGTAAAGGGGTGTGGTGGTTGTTGATTGTCGACGGGGAACATGGTGTGTGGCCGGAGTGAATGGAGGAAGAAGAAGAGGAGATAATTTGGGTAAAGTTTAAGGAGGGAATAAGGTTTGTATGGTGAAATAAGGGGGGTGTAATCCGCTTTTTATAGGGGGGTAAATTATCCGTTTCAGCTTTACACAACTGTAAAAAATATCATACAATGTTCTAGTAGACTGGTAAAAAAAATCGTAATCAAACTATTAATATTTACAAATGTAAATAAGTATCACACTGGGATGCAAGCCGTAGTGGTCCGAGAACCCTAATTTATTCATGAGGTCAAGGGTAAGAAACATAAAAAGTGTGTAATCTAAAAATTAAATAAATATAAAGGCTGCATCATTTTTTTTATCATTTTAGTAATTATGCACAAGTAAGTATGAACATGATTTGTGTGACCATGAAATTTACTCTATTAACATGCATACAACAAATATTTTCACATGCAAAAGTAATTATATATTACTTTCTATAACAATGCATGTAGGGGTGAAACAAATTCGGGTTAAAACCGAACCGAACCGAATAAGAAATATGGTTCGGTTTTTTTTTTGAAGTGGTTCGGTTCGGTTTTTACAAAAAAAATATTTCGGTTTTCGGTTTGGTTTCGGTTTGAGGAAATGGAAAACCGAAAAAAACCGAAAACCGAAATTTAGGCCCAGATTTACCCTAAGTATATAAGGAAAAAAAAAACCCTAACCCTCATTCTCTGATTCTCTCTCCTGACTTCCTCAGTTCCTCGCCTCTTACCCTACCCTCATTGCGAATTTCTCAATCTCTCACCCTCACTTTCTCAGTTTCTCAATCATCTCTTTTGTGTTTCTCAGAATTCTCACTCTCCATCGTTCACCGACACTCGTTCAGGCGTTCATTGTGACACCGTCCACCGTCCAAAGGTATGCTTTTAAGTTTTGATTATGCTTGATGTTCATATTTTTTTAGGGTTTTAATTATGATTAGTGTTAAATGTTAATTACGAAAATCTGCAAATTACATGTACAAATTTGTTAAACATTCTGATTAGGGTTTTAATCTATGCTTGATGTTCATATTGCGATGTTGTTTCTGAATTTTCTATTCTGTACAAATTAGTAAAACATTCTGAATTTTCTGGTATTTTGATGCTTCGGGGTTTTGGTCTATTCAAGGGTATTTTGGGTTTTGGTCTAGTAAAACATTCTGATTAGGGTTTTGGTCTAGTAAAACATTCTGAATTTTCTGGTATTTTGAAGCTCTATTCGATTGGACTCCGTTGAAGATTGTTTCAGATTATTAGTTAGTTATTAATTCAAGGGTTCGCATGATTAATAGCATTATCATTGTCTTGATAAGTGTTTATTAGATTGTTGATCTTTGTTATTATTGTTAATTTTGATTTTACTTGTTTTGGGTACAGTTAGTCAGTTAGTGCTTAATTTGATTGTTTTTGGGTGGTGGGGTGGAATCTTAGGGGGCTAATTATTATTGCTAAATTGTTATTGTCTTTGGTGCAGTTAGCCAGTTACTACTGATTTTGTTTATTAGGGGTATAATTATTATTATTGGTACTGTAAGTCTCTTTTTTTTTTTTTTTTTTTTTTTTTATAGGACTATAAATTCATTGTAATTCTTACTAAAATAAATTAACTACAATTCAAAAATATGTAACAAAACTAACAAAACCCAATATTAACTTAATTTCATCTAACAACAATTGTTAATATAATATCATAATAAGTTTTGCACCAAGCCTCATAAACAAGAAAACAGTTTGCATGACTAATGCACAACGGCCCCAACCTATTATTCCCTTTAAAAGATCCAATATTCTTAATTTATGAGTTTGCATGTATTCTTACAGATTGTTATTCAACCACGAATTATTGAATGACAACCAACGTGGGTGGTGTTCCTGACCAGCCTCAATCCGAACATGAGACTGACCAAGTCTCTCAAAATCAGAAAAAAGAACAGGGAGAAAAAAGGAAGAGGATGAAAGAACGCTCTGAAGTTTGGGAGCACTTTGATAAAGAAGACTTACCTTCTGGAATGCAGGCAATTTGCAAGTATTGTGGGATGAGCTACAAGTGTGGGGCAAAGAAAAATGGCACTAGTGTGTTATGGGCTCATATTTCGCGATGTCGTAAGTATCCCTTTAACACCCCTAAAGATTCAAAACAAAGTTTGCTTTCATTTAAAAGTGCTAAAGAACCAAGTGGTGGTACTAGTGGGTTGACATACCACAAATTTGATGCTGGTAGTATTAGAAAAGCTTTGTCATTTATGGTGATTGTTGATGAACTTCCATTTAAGTTTGTTGAAGGTATAGGTTTTAGACATTTTTGTGGTGTAATAGAGCCTAGATTTAATGTTCCTTCTCGAATTACAGTAGCCAAAGATTGTTTTGAAACATATTTAACTGAAAAACAAAAGCTGAAAAATGTGTTAAAAAGGTGTAATTCAAGAGTTTCTTTAACCACTGATACATGGACCTCTATACAACAAATCAATTACATGTGCTTGACTGTCCACTTTATTGATAATAATTGGAAATTACACAAAAGAATTCTGAATTTTTGTCCTATTTCTAGTCATAAGGGTGATGATATTGGCAAATAAATTGAAAAGTGTTTGCTTGATTGGGGGCTTGAAAATGTCATGTGCATAACAGTTGATAATGCTAGCTCAAATGATACTGCAATTGGGTATATGAGAAGGAAAATAAATGGGTGGAAAACTGGGGTTCTTAAGGGTCGTTTCCTTCACATGCGTTGTGTTGCACACATTGTCAATTTGGTTGTTTCTGATGGGTTGAAAACTGTTAATGAGTCGGTTCAACGTGTTAGGCATGCTGTTAGGTTTATCAAACAATCTCCTGCTAGGTTGCAAAGGTTTAAAAAATGTGTCTTAGATGAAAAAATCAACACAAAAAAGGGATTGTGCCTTGATGTGCCTACTAGGTGGAACTCCACCTATTTGATGTTGAATGCTGCTATTGAGCTTCAAGATGCTTTTGAGAGGTATTCTGGGGAAGACCCTCACTATGTAGTTGATTTGAATGAGAGGGATGGTAAGGGTAGCCCAGATTCTGATGATTGGAATAATGTAAGAAGACTTTCTGAATTTCTACAAGCCTTTTATGATCTGACCTTGCATGTCTCTGGCTCTTTATATGTCAGTTTGAATTTGTTTTTTCATGAATTGGTGAGTGTTGTTGTACTTATGAAAGATTTGGTTTCAAGTGATGATGTGGATATGTGTCTTATGGCTTGTAGAATGAAAGAAAAATATGAAAAGTATTGGGGTGATCCAGAAAAAATAAACCTCCTGATTTTTATTGCCGTTGTCCTTGATCCTCGTTATAAGCTTGATTATGTTGAGTGGATGATAACTGAAATTTATGACCCTATTGTTGCATCAAAGTTAGTTGATAATGTGAAGGTAGCTTTGAATGCTTTGTATGAGGAGTATCATGTTTCTTCTGGTAATGATGTGAATAGGGAGAAAGTGTCTTCAAGTAAGGATGGCAAAACTCCATTGAGTCCCAAACATAAAAAGATTGAAGTCTTAAAGAGTAAGTATAAGAAACACAAGTGTGAGAGAGATGGAGATGCAAAAATAGAGTTAGACAAATATTTGGAGGAGGATACAGCGGAGGATATTGATGAATTTGACATTTTGAGCTGGTGAAAGTTCAATTGTTCAAGGTTTCCTACTGTGGGGAGAATTGCCTTGCTGTCCCTATTTCGACAGTAGCTTCTGAGAGTGCATTCAACACTGGGGGCAGGGTTCTAGATCAGTTTAGGAGCTCATTAACTCCTCGAGTTGTAGAAGGTCTTGTTTGTGCTGAAAATTGGTTACGTGCTTCACCATTTCCAAGTATTGAAGAATTTTTAGAGGAAGTTGAGCTTCTTGAAGAGGGTAATATATAAGAACATCTAATCATAAGTTACTTATTTTCATTATGTGTATATATTTTAACTTGGTTGTTTTTGTTATGAATTATGATAGACTTGAAGAATATGGCAGTTGGTGATGCTGATATTGATGAAGTGCTTGAAATAATAGACTGATGTGGCTCTTTGCTCATTGCTGACTTGCTGTTGCCACTTGCCAGACTTGCTACTGCCTTGCTCTATCACTGCTGCTGCCTTAGTCTATGCTGCTGAGTGCTGACCTGCTTTTGCTGCTGACCTGCTGTTATGATGCTGCTGCTTGTTGCTACTGCTGTTAAACAATTTTTTTACTGCCTTTTAGAACATGGTCTATGCTGCTTGTTGCTACTGCTGTTAAACAATTGTTAAAGTTGTAATGTTGAACAATTTTTTTTTTTTTTTGGATGAAGTGTTGAACTTTTAAAACTTTGAATTATAACTTTGAAGTTTTAGAACTTGTTAATGTTGTTTAAATCTCATTAAGCATTTATGCTACTACATATGTTGATGAATATAATATTTATATGATTTAAGCCCATAAAAATTGCAGATTAAAGCCCAAATAAACAAGGCCCAAAAAAATTCGGTTTGGTTCGATTTTTTCTTTTGAAACCGAAATTTATATGGTTTGGTTTGGTTTGGTTTCAAAAGTAAAGTGGTGCGGTTTGGTTTCCAAAAACCAAAAACCGAATTAGGGTGGTTCGGTTTCGGTTTGGCCTATAAACCAAACCGAAAACCGAACTTTCACCCCTACATGCATGAGAGTTACCAAATTAAATATCATATATAAGTTATGTATTGATATTCTCATTTTTATCAACATGGCTAATTATGTAGAGTAATTTTGTGGAGAAATATATTGTGAGTTTCTAGTATAGAGGATCCCGTATGGGCAACTATAGAGCATACTCCTCAAAATATATTTTGTGAAAGAAATTGAATCTTTGTAAAAATTGGATAATTGGTATAAGTATATCTGATTGAAGATGGTGCTGATAACGTGTTATGAAATATATAGAAATTAGAGGATTAAGAGAAGAAGGTAATAAGAGAAGTATTACTACTTGTATGTATTACTCTTGGTAATAATTTTTGTGTACATCATACAAGTGAAATTGCATGGTTATTTATAGTAGTAAGAATTACTATTACATTGTGGGCTATAACCTTAGAGGGTGGCAATTAGGGTTGGCTACTACATTAAATGCAATGAAGAAATTGGAGTGTGGACATTCACACCTTGACTAAATTAATTAACTCTTAACATAGATTCAAATAATGCAATGTACATTAAAATATAGTAAAATGTTCTTTTTTCATATACTTCCATGATGCAAATAATACAATGTACATTAAACATGTAACCAACATTATAACATATATGTTCATTAGAATATAATACAATGTACATTATAATACAATAAAATATACTTTTTTATATGCATACACGGTCATTTATACCAAATGTACATTTACTATATGAATAATGTTCTTTACTAATATTACAAATGTTTTTTAGATTTATTAAAAAAACATATAAAACTAGATGTTTTTTATAAAATAGAAATATGTTCTTTATAAAAACAACTATATGTTCTTTACTGAACAACTAAATGTTCATTCCGCCTTTTTTTAAAAGAAAACCGGATGCACCAAGCATGGTGCATCCGCCTCCACAGAAAAAATTTCTTACCGATTGAGCTAGTAGATTAGTGTTATTAAAATGTTTATGTAGTACCAATTCTAACAAAGAAAACAAGTCATGCAAAGTAATTCAACATAATAAATGGAGCTAGTATATAAAACATTCATAGTAAAGAAAAATTACTTAAAGGTAACTCAAAATATCTTAAAAGTAAATAAACTGATCTATCAAAGTAGGCTAGTATATATTAAACATTCGAAGTAAAGGAAAGTAAATAAAAAAATGTTAAAAGTAAATAAAATTATCGCAGAAGTAAATAAAGTGTATATATATATATATTTTGTCATCATCAAACCTGAAAAACTTAAAAAAAAAAAAAAATAATTATCACAGTACCAAGATTGATTAGAGAACCAGCTTATGCTCTATTATTTCTTTCTCCAACCTAAAGTAAACATGAAACACTTTTAAGTTATTTAAAATGTTACTTTAAAGTTAAACACTTTAATATTATCTCTTTCTACCAAATGTAAAGCTTGGTTTGTGGAGGCGGATGCACGATCCGCTCCAAAGTACAAAAAGGCGGAATGAACATGCAGGTATATACTAATGTACATGGGCTTATAAAAGAACATAGTGTTCATTTATAATGTACATGGAGATATACATAAAAGAACGTAGTGTTCATTTATAATGTACATCAGATTTTTGTGCAACAATTTTGTATATTATTTTTGTATAATAATATAATTATTTTTTTTTGTATAATGAAATAGATAAATAGTACTATAATTAATTTTTTTACCATACATTAAGTACAAATCATTTTATTTTATTTTATTTTATTTTTTTTACCAAAAGTCCACTTTCTCTCTCCAAACAAAACTTCAAACCCATTTAAATTCCTCAAACCTCAAGCAAAATTTCAAGAAATTCAAAATTTTGATTCCAAACTTGTTCAAGATGACAAATAAAAATTAAAGGTAAGACCAAATTCGACATTCATACTATATATATATATATATATATATATATATATATATATATATATATATATATATATATAGCTAGCCATGGTAGGACAACAGAGGAGTTGAAGGCACCAAAACTTGGCTCAAGGGCATATGAGATGTAGAACTAAATACATCGAGAAAGATATAGCAACACATCATCACACCCCTCATCACCCCACTTACTGCCAGCCTCAAGTACCTTGTAACCCACCACATATATGCCCAATTCAACTGCCTAACCCACTCAACAACAACAACCAGCAACACATTGTTACGTTGCTTCCATTATCAGCCGACGTGTTTGGTTATGATTATCAAGGGGTGTTACAGATACCTGCTACCCTGAAAATTTTTAAAAAATTATAGGTAAGCTATATAAAAAAAGATAGATATCTTGCCTTATACTATGGTATATATTAATCTTATTGGGTGCTACTCGTATAATATTGCTACTATGTTTAGTGAAATATGCTAGATTGATGTATGTAACTTGTTTGAATTGGTTTTTCAGTTCAATTCCTAGCTATTTTGCTCTAGCGTTATACCATCAGATCACATAATATAATACATAGAGTTTTAGGCCTTCTAGCTAGGTTGAAATTATACACTACTTTATACCAACTCAACTTTTGGTTTTGAGAGGTTGATGATGTATTTCTTTTGTAATATAATGACAAAAGCTTAATTAATCTGTTATTTTTAACTGTATTTATATATACAAGTATTATTTTTTCATATACTTCTATAGCTCTATCTATTAATGTACATTTTCTAAACCCACCCCTGCTCCGTAGCCACAGATAGCTACGGTATATAAAAAAGAATATAAAGTAAATAAAAAAAGACTTTAAAGTAAATTGAAATATTTTAAAAGTTAATTAAAAAATCTCAAAAGTAGAGTGAATAAAAAAATAATTGCATGGTCTCTTTAGTAAATAAAAAAGAATATAAAGTAAATAAAAATGACTTTAAAGAAAATTGAAACATTCTAAAATTAAAGTAAATAAAAAGATCTCAAAAAGTAGAGAATAAAAAATAAGTTTCATGGACTCTATAGTAAATAAAAAAGAATGTAAAGTTAATCGAATCAAAATATTCTAAAAGCAACCACTGGTAGAAAAATTGAAAATGCCACCGCTTAAAGGCCACCGGTTTTTGTAAACCGGTGGTTTAAAAAATGGGCGGGCTAAGGCAAATATTATTGCCACCGGTTCAAACCGAACCAGTGGAAAAAATGCTCAAGACCACCGGTTTTGAACCGGTGGCAATATTTGAATAAAAAAAACGCGGCTTTTTATCTTCTCTTTCCCCATTCTCTATTGAACACTTTCATTAGTTTCGACCAAAACGGCCACGAGCAGCATCGAATCGTGCCTTCAAACCCTACCACCACAAACTCCACCAGTGACGCCACAACCACCGCACCACCATCCACCACCTCCGCACTCCCTCCACCACTAAGCACAAGCAGCAAGCAAGGGGAAGCGTGCGTGGTCCCTCCACCACCTGTCACCAGTGACGCCACAGCCACCGCACCACCATCCACCACCTTCGCACTCCCTCCACCACATGCGCACACCTCCGCACTCCCTCCATCACTGAGCACAAGCAGCAAGCAAGGGGAAGCGTGGTCCCTCCACCACCTGTTCGCCCAAGCCGCCGCGCCACTGTGCCCTGCCGCCGGGGCCCTGACCGAGGTCCCTCCACCGACCGTCGTCCTCTACTGTCCATCTCTCTTCCCTATCCACCTCCACCTAGGGTTAGTATATTATTTTATTTTGTATTTTGAATAATTTTTTAATTTCTTTTATATTATTATTATTATCAATTTGTTGTTGTTGCTTAATTTTTGGTTAATTATAGTATGAATTGAATTATTTTGGAGTTAGATTGAGGAGTAATCCGTTTTAGATTACATTACATAATGATTTTCCTAATGCTTTTAGGAAATCTTTGGATTATGGAGTATAATTTGATATGTTGGAGTGGAATTAAATTGATTGTTAGGTTTTATTAGGAAATTTTGAATAAATTAGAGATTATTAGTAACCTTGTTACTTAATTAGTTGAATTTGGTAGTATATTGTTGTTTTAATTTCTTTTATATTATTATTATTATCAATTTGTTGTTGTTGCTTAATTTTTGGTTAATTATAGTATGAATTGAATTATTTTGGAGTTAGATTGAGGAGTAATCCGTTTTAGATTACATTACATAATGATTTTCCTAATGCTTTTAGGAAATATATGGATTATGGAGTATAATTTGATATGTTGGAGTGGTGTTAAATTGATTGTTAGGTTTTATTAGGAAATTTTGAATAAATTAGAGATTATTA